ATATATATATATACATACAGACATATTGTGGAACTTACAGTGCCCTAAACCCAAGAACCCTAGCTCGAAAATTGTGTGGAGACAGATGCATAGCAGACTATCATGTCTCTTCAATCACAATCCGATGACAGAGAATCCTAAGCCCCAACATAAAGACCTGAGTAATTGACAAGACTCCTTCTGGGTCCTTATTTCTACTACAGTATACCGTATACCCCGAAACCTTAATCTTGTTACTGAAGCCCCTATATTGAGCCGTCATGCCGGTTGTTTTCGTAACCCGCATAGACCCCTGCAAAGGGAACCCTAAAAGATCCCGATGTTCATTCTTAACGCCCCCTTTATCAGCTTCTCAGGATGACTTCGACCTGGTATCCTCGCATCTCGGATAGGGCGCAGCTTAAATTTCAGCAAGGCTTTCGGCTTCGGTTTCGGGCCTCAGGGCTTTCCAGGGCATTAGGCTTTGGGATATTCGCACCTCCCCCAGGAACTTGCTTAATGGTACTTCGGGATGATTCGTCGTTGGGAGCTTTGTCTTTGACGTTTGAATGCCGCCTTTTCTAATCATACAAGTGCAAGCAAGAGCAAGGGCGGAAAGGATCCTTTTGCAAGCCTGCAAACGCTGGCCAAGTTTCTATCTGTCTATCTGTCTGTCTACCGATCAATCTATCTGTCTACTTATCTATCTGTCTATTTAGCTATCTATCTATACGCATGTATTAAAACAGTCGTCACCAGATGTTTACAGTTGTGTTAGTAAGTTGCATATCATGTTCGGAATGGCTGGACGTTTACAGGCACAGGTTCAGGGCAGTTTTTGGTAAGTCATATCTGCTCTAGACGCCACGATGTGGCAGAAGCCCTTAGCCGCAAACCATGATGTATCAAAAAAACCTAATGTAAGGGTCTAAATAGTTACCGATACTATTTGGGGGGCTTTTTTATGATAGTTATATAGTATAATCTACCCCCAAAACCCTATTTTTATTCTTAAGGCCCATACATTAGCCCGTAAAAAGCTAAACCAGCACTCCTCGACCGGCCCTCAACCCCTTTTTGCCCACAACCTTCAATCACAAACTCCTTCATCCTCATGGGCGAAGGCAGGAGGAGTCCGATGGATCCTGCACCGACCAGTTCAACCCTGCCGTGGTCGCCGGACCACCGAAGAGCGTCTACTTCAAGGCGTTCTAGGGGCTACGCACGGGTTTAGGGTTCTTGCGGCCTCTACTTCAAGACGTTTTAGGGGTTGCGCAAGGGGTTTAGGGTTCTTGTGGCCTCTACTTCAAGGTGTTTTGGGGGTTATGCAGGGGTTTAAGGTTTTTGTGGTCTCGACTTCAAGACGTTATAGAGGTTATGCAGGAGGTTTAGGATTTTTCTGTGGCCTCTACTTCAAGGCGTTTTAGGCGGGTCACCGTGACTGCGGTGGTGATCTCCTTAGTTTAAAGGGTTTGGGGTTGAGGGCTTGTTACAAAGCATGTTGAGTCTAGGCGCAAGGGGGTATAAACAAATGCGAATTATGCATCTTTGTTGGATCAAAGGGTGTCATGGGTGAGGGATCCGTTATGGGCTCTGAAGAGCGCGAGGGTGTAGGGTTTAGGGCTTTGAAGTTTCGGTATGCTGCAGTTTCTTTGGGCTCTGGGGTTTGGGACTGCAGAGTCTGGGATGTTGGATTTCGGGTTCTGGGTTTAGGGTTTAGGGGTTCGGGGTTAAGGGGTTGAGGGGTTAGGGGTTTAGGGGTTTAGGGGTTTAGGGGTTTAGGGGTTTAGGGTTGGGGCTGTGCGGTTATAGTTGTCGATGGTTGAGGAAAACACTGAGAGCAGGTTGCGGTGACGGGTGAAGGTTTAAGTTTGTTTGTTGCGGGTTCTGGGTTTCCGGTTCAAGGATGAGTGTTGCAAGGTTTACGCTTGCCGGCTTAGGTTTCAGATTCAAGACGGTTTAAGGTTGATGGGGCTGTTTAGGTTGGGATGTCGGTCGTGAAGAGTTAAGAGGCTGATGCCATTGAGGTTCTGGGCTTGGGGTTTGGGGGTGCAGACTTTGGCGGCTCGAGTGCATGGTGTACGTAGTTTAGGCTGCAATCCTAAACCCAAAAAACAATCAAGGGGTTGAGGGAACACAAGGGGACGCGCGCTTCGATTGTGCTGTTATGGTTTTGCCGCTTCATTACATTGGGACCGTCGGGATCTGCTTCAAGGTTGCAACTGCTCTTGGGCGTAGTATCCAGCATGTTGGGCTAGAATCGGCTAGAACCTGCTTACCAGATTCCCAAAACCCGAAGCTACACAACTCCCGCACTCTGACTCAACGGTGTTGACCTTCATCTGTCCCAGGCAGTGTGGGAGAAGCACAAATCCATGCTCCAGCATCACTGCCCCATCGCAGACAAGCAGAAGGAGATCATTTGTTGCTTCGATGACACCAACGATCCCTGGCCGACACAGCAAAGAAAGTCCTTGGTTCCTGGCCCGTGGGTCCATGCAAACACACGTTGGCAGTAAAGTACGAAGTGCATGCGCTTGACTATCTTTAAGGCCAAGGCTGATTACCCTAAGGCCCTAAGGGTCCATGTACCCAAATACTGTATACTTGGGCCTTAATGTAGTCCCTATATAGGTACTTTCGGGCCAATGTATATACTATTTAGGTACCTGGACCCGTAGGGTTCTTCATAAACAAATGGACTCGAGGTAGGGTCGAGCAGTCCGACAGTCAGGAACCAGACACTTCGCACGGTCCACTAAGTCTCGCTTAGGGTTCAGGGTAAGGCGAGAGTTAAGTATGCCAGAGAATGGTGAAGAGCAAGGAGCAGAGAAAATGAATGTAATTTCACCTGGCAGCAGCAGCAGCAGCAATTTTCAGGACCCGACTGACAACAACACCAGCAAACTGAGAACAACGGCAAGTAGGACAGCAATACCTATGAGAACGCTGTGATACTGTAATGGCACTACGGCTGAACATCCGCATGCCTCATGCTTGAAAACGCTGACAAAAGCAATAAGCGCTAAACCTGGAACACGATGCAGGCAGACTCCTAATACTGTAACCAGGCAGTTGTTCAAATACCTATGAGAAGTATTGAAGTATACTGAAACTTAAAATCTATGGCCTATGATAAGTATCCTAAACCCAAATCTCTATGATAAAGATATATATATATATATATACTGAGCCATCAACTCTGAACTGAGGAGCGCTGTCATATTCCTTGGCTGGCCATGAACCGGGGCATAGCTCATCCCATCATCCGAGATTGGAGCCGTACCTTGTCGGGTTTAGGGTTTAGGGTTTAGGGTGGATTGAGGCTTGAGGCAGTTGGGGGTACTAGAGGGGCCTTAAGACTTAAGAATTGCCTACAAATGCTACTGTGGGGGGGCTTCTTACGATAAACACAGCATTATACACACACACACATATATATATATATATCAAAACCTTGTTCTAATTAGTAAGGCCCCTACATTACATGGCTTTGGGGTTGAGGGTGGTTCTTCAAGGGAACCTTCAAGGGACTTCAAGTTTGGGGCTTTCGGGGTGGCTTTCGAGTTTGGGTGGTGTGTCGTGTTAAGGCCGACTGCTGGATAGCCGACATGTATTACCGTAAAGCCTGTGGAACTCATGCCGCAACCGCCTCAAACTGCTTGAAATGCTGGCAGGCCAGTCCTTCCAAGAGGATTCCCTCGCCTAGAACACAGACAGACAGACTGATTCACTGACAGAGAGACAGAGACAGACAGCGACACACACACACACACAGAGAGACAAACCGCAAGAACTTGCTCGGAACAGCTAATGAGCAGCTCACGCCCAGTCGACTCAGGCAGCCAATCTGATCGCTCCTTGAGGAGCTTTTGCTTTAACAGGCTCGATTTGGGGCTGCCAGGTTTGCAAAGGGAGTCTGCAAGGCGAGAAGGCCTAGGACGGTCTTCAGCAACGATCATGCGTGTAAAAGCTTTAGGCCAGCTTCTGTCTAGTCTAGAACCCTAAACCCTAAACCCAAGTACCCTAAACCCCAGATTGTAGCCCAAGCTTCTCAAACTGATGGCCGGTTTTCGTGGCTCCGTCTTGGCTGCACCGAAATGCACTCCAATAGCAAGTTTGCAAAGCGGTACACAGCATGCAAGCACACATCACCCACACGCCAGGCTCACATAGTCCTTGTGAACCTGGAATCGCCAAAGGTCAAAGCGCTAGAGCAGGCAAAGTCTCTTGCAATGGCAATGCTGGTGTCCACTTCTACCTTCGGATCAGGTCCCAAAGCTCCCTGGTGGGTTCATGGGTGTTTCTCATTCTGAACTTCTGTCTATCCCGTAGAAACTATTTTTTGTTGTCTACGACTACTAGGGGTCATACACCAGGCCTGGGTGAAAACTTCGGAAAGAAGGACCACTGTCATTGCGATACCTAGTAAAATATCATAGAATACTTTGTGCCAAACCACACGTCGTATCATATCATAGTAAGTCATGGTACACATTATACATATTAGACCAAACTACAATACATATAGCACAAAACCCCAAACTTGGTATGATTTGGGGTGTTGGCGCGATATGTTTGATAGTCTTTTGGTCTCAGGTTCACTGCCTCAGCCTTTCAGGTTTCTAACTGGATTGGCAGGCAGAAGCGAGGCCCCCGAAACCCTAAAACCCGAAACCCTAACAGCCGAAACAAGAACTTGGTATAGACAAAGCTCTTAGCTGGCACAGAGGTTCGGTGGCCGCGAGAGCGGAATGTCTCCCTGGCGAGGACGCCGGCTCTGAGCCAGAGGCCGCTGCATTGGGCCTAGGGTTTTTAAGGTTTAGGAACCTGTTTTTTGAATGTTTTCATGAGAGAACATGTCCAGCTGTTTTTTCCATGAAAAACAGGTTGAGGGTTTTGGGGTTAAGAATTTAAACTGAGTTACTGGAATAAGGAATATACCCCCATTACGGTCACTTAATTAAGTTCCTGAGCAGCAGCCCAGGCATTGGGAAGTGCCAGCAGTGGCCAGCCTCGTTGCCTTGAAGATGATGAAACCGTCAAAGAGCCGGCAAGCAGGGTCGGGGTGGCATGTGCAGCGCTCAGCTACAGATGCAGTTCCGGCTGATCTTCGAGCCGATGGCACTTCCATCCTCCGCGAGGTGGTACGTCGCAATGTCGTAAAAACAGTTTGCCGCGTCGGGTTATGGTCGCTCTTCACGGGGCTTGGAGCCTATTGGCTATTCCCAGCCTGCCAGAGGTTGTGGCTCGTGCTCCTCACAGGATCCGCAGAAACCGGGGCCTTGAGTGACACGACCCTGGGATACGTGGGCAATATCTTGGCCCTCATGAGCGTCTTGTTTTCCATCCTTGCCGGGAACTCCTACACATCTCTCTACGGTCAGAACGAGGCCATTTTCTGTGCTCTCTTTGCGGAAGTCTCCGAGGCAAAAGCATTGATGGAGCAGATCGCCTTGGTTTGCTCGGGCAGACCATTTTATCGATCAGCTCTGGAAAACATCAGACGTTATGTCAAACAGGATCTGCGTGGGTTAGGTTTAGGGATGTTTTGGTTTTAGAGAGCTCAGGGTGAAGTTCAGGTCTTGAGTTTAGGTTTTAGAGTTTAAGTCCCAGCTGATCAGCAGAGTCTGAGTTCAAAGGGTTTAGGTTTGAAAGTTTTGGGGGTTTAGGTGCTATGAGACGTCCAGCAGGATCTGCGTCGGTTAGACATGCCGCCATCCATCCTCTGTGCTCTCAAGCCTCGCGATGATCCACTCGAGACTTCGCTTTCTCATCATTTCGAGGTGTAAGCATTTCTAGTAATTCTAGCAGGAGAAGGTTGCCAAAGCCCAAATTCCAAGCCTTACGTGATCAGATAAGGTTCCGCTAAGCCATAAAACCCTAGCCAGATAAGCTTGCCTGCAAAAAAACAAGGAAGGAAGCATGTTCCAACCTTGCCTCGCAAACCCCTGGGTCCAATATCCCCAAGCCGCACGCTTCAAGTATCCAATCTACCCGGAGAAACAGGTTATTAGCCCGAAACAAGGCATCTTTTTCCCTTTGTTGGGCCCCTTTGTGTTACTCTCGGCACCATAGCCCTGAACCCTAAACCCTAAACACTACACCCTAAACCCAACATGCCCTAGACGGAAAACCCTACATGCCCTAGACCCTAAACCCTAAACCCTACATGCCCTGGACCCTCAAACCTCTACTTTAAACCGTAGACACCGAAGAACTCCGATGCTTTGAGCCTTGCTAGACTCCCGATGTACCCTCTCTACAGCGGAAGTAGCATCCCGAAACCCTAAACTCTAGGGTTTAGGGTTTAGGGTAGCCCAAAAACCTATGTTTGTTGCAGGGCTCCTTAAAGCATTTTCTTCACATAACTGTCGTTTAGGACGACAAGTACTTTAAAGGATAATTCACGGTAATGCCGGACCTCGGCTAAATGTGCAGCCTGCCCACAAAAAGTTATGAGTTGAGACGGAATGTACTTCAATTTACCATACTAGGAACGCATGCATACAGACATACATACATACGAACATATGAGTGCTCACTTGTATACATACATGCGCTCATATTCATACATATGTATACATATGTATTTATGTGCAACAATTTCAGTGTTTGGCGATCATTCGTATTAGTATGTATACATTGTAAGCAACATGAAATGCTGATGTAGACTCAATGTAGACGTAAACTCCGTTTGGGTGACCAAGGAGAGCATCCTGTACCTAACAAGTGTGGGAGTGCCATCCACAGTCTACGAGACGGTACGAAGCCTTCGTCAACGTCGAGGAGATCGTCTAGGGGCCGTACAGCGGAAGCTTCCTCCCGTTCAGATGGCCTTGCTCTACGTCCTTGCAGGTCTTAACCTTGTTAGTCTACTCCTTCTAGCCTTGCGGATTCCATCAGAAGCCGAGTACCGCCTCTGCCGTGGACTCTTTGCTATGATGGCCGGTGGCCTGATGATGACCATGCGGGTGATTCATGAACTATGGACTCCAGTCGGTGGTGCCTACAACGTGGATGGTGTCTTAAGGGTCATGATCCTTGGTAGTGAACTAGTTTTAGCTTGTTTGTTCTTTTTTGGAGGTGGGGGTAGCAAGGTAGTATAATCCTGATCAACTCCCAAACGCTTAGCCTTCAGTTCCCCTAGGCCCTTATCAGCTGGAGAAGTAAGGATCACGGGCTTGGAGGATGAGTTGGACCAAAGGTTGCAAGGAAAGACCTTCTCGGACACGCGCTTGCCCCCACCACCGCCAAGCTACCAGCGCCCAAGCAAAGCAGAGAGCAAAACGGGATCCATGGACAAGTGATCTTTCAGACCTCCAGGGAGCTATCATACTATATCCTTGCAACACGCACAGGGCGTGTTTCATGAATGCCACTTGACCTGTACAGGCAAACTGAGATCGAGTCTCACGTGGGAAAAGAAGCTCAGCGTGATGATTACTGCCTGCGCTATCCTAGCATTAGTTTGCACGGCATTGTGCTGCCCTGCTTGTGATAGCTCGCCAATTCAGCGCAGACCACACGCCCGCCGATTAAGACCAACAGAAGCAAACGCAATAACTGCAGCAGGTAGTAGCCCGGTAACAGCTAGCAACCGCAGATGCACTAACGATCCGACTCACTACCATCCTCTAAATTACTAAAGCCTTACAAACCCTACACCCCACCGTGATAAGGGTCTTGGTAGAAACCAGGCCCGTGATTTTCTGTGTTGGTCTTCCGAAGGCTTCTCTTGCTTCATGCGACAGTTGCCAATGCCACTGTGTGCAGAAAGGTCGGCAGACTAAGTGCTCGGAATAAGTATGTAATTACCACCCCCGTCCAAAAAACATAACAATCCAATCTAGTGTTTCATCGAGTCGCAACCCCATGAAGCAACCTGGGGCTGTTCTGCGACTGTGATGTGCTCCCCTGCCCCGCCCGAACGCCCGAACAGTGCGCTGACAGGGAAAACGGCTTCCAGCCGTCGAACCTGAACACAGCTTCTTGGTTTCAGACTTGCGGTTTGGGCCTGTTGTCCAGGCAAAGGGAAAGGAACGGGCCACGAGATGAGCCAGGTTGCAACCCAATGGCGGACGGGTTCGATAATGTTTTCCTGCACAGAATTTGTAGTTGCTCCCTGCGTACGTCCCATGGCCTAGAGGCCTACAGGTGCCACGCCGTGCTGTACATAGTACAGTCTGGGGGCCCTTGTCAAACGACCGCACCATTATAGTGCATATATGTTTGACATGCACATACGGCTACATGGTGAAGCGTCGCCAACCCCCCCCCCCCCCTGTCCTCCGACCGCCACGGTTCCCGCCCAATGGTATGGTACCCGCTGCCCCTTGGGTAGGTTGCTGGGTGTTGGTGGTTGGGTGGGTTCGGGTTTGAGCGCGGCCTGGGCAGGATTGCTCTTGCTTCAGGCTGCCCCTATTAGGGTTTAGAACCGCCCATCCCTCTAGCGGTTAGCAGCATGGAGACATCAAGATCCGGAGACAGCAGCGGTTATGAGTGTTTGAACCCCATGTGACCCATTGAGATGTCGCCGTGATGCCACAAGATCCCCACAAGCCGCCCTGTCACGCAGATTCCGCGCTCACACCACGGGGGGTGGGCCTGGGCGAGGCTGGAAGGGGGGGGACGGACGCAGTGACATGGCACCACACATAGATATATACGCATAGACATATGTATGTATATACCGTTTATGCTTATGTATGTGCACATCCACACAGCATGGCCAGCCAAATCCAGCTTGAAACAGGAATTCTGTAAACCCTAAACCCTAAANNCCCCCCCCCCCCCCCCCCAGAAAAGACCCTAAACGTGGCCCTTGCCGAGATGATCCGCGAGAGATGGGACGTGCCGCGGGCCCTGAACTACTACAAAAAACGGGGCATCCCGAGGCCTGGCACTTGTAGAGGTTTTAGGGTTTAGGGTT